AATGCAACGTGTGCAACGTGTGAAAATACAGTATAAATCATTATAATCCGTAATTATGTCCCCACTGGATGCCTCGTTTATCACAGTATGGTAAGTGGCGTAACATTTCCGTCTCACGCTTGAGGTATTCGGCCAATCATAACGCACTGGATAGCTGGCCAATCAGAGCACACCTCGCTTTTCAGACCGATGAGCTTTGTAAAAATCGACGCGTTTCAGAAAGGCGGGGCATAGAGGAGAAACAATAATGTACAGTATGTGGAAAATAATGTGTTTTTTGAACCTTAAACCGCATAAACACATTTCAGTACACCAAATACACAAAATAATGTTATTTTTAGCAAAATCATATGACACCTTTAAAATACAAATGAATAAAAACTATATAGACATTTAAAAATGTAATAAAATAACAAAAACACAACATAATTACTAAACTTTTAACTGAAATTAACATGAAAGTAGAACATATATATATATATATATATATATATGTGAAATAAAATCTAATTCAAAATATTAACAAAAATTTCATCTGGTATTAAAAACAGGTGTTATCAAATTAAGAAAAATAAATAAATAAATAAATAAATACATTAATAAGTAAGTAAATAAATGTGTACATTACTGAAAATTAAATTGTTTTTCGCACTGCTTTTTAAAAAAAAAATTTTTTTTTATGGTAGCACAATTTTAATGAGTCTAATAATATACAATACTTGATTCTCTTCATTGGTTAAAAAATTGGGTAAGATTTTATGAATATGAGGGTCAGATTCAGTCCAACTGATCATAAACATTTTCTTCAATTCACATAATATATAACCACTATTTTTTTTTTATAAACTGTGAATATTTTAAACAATATCATAACTCATTTTTAACATTTAAACATAAGTTTGGAAAAGTACTTCTTCTGTTTTCCTGAAGCTCAAACATTACAGCATAGCACTAGTAATGCCAAGACCATGGGTGTGATACTAAACATGCATGAACTGATAAAAATATGTGCCTTCAGTGCAGTGTAAGTTTCTTCAGATAAACCAAATGCATCAAGCAAATAAATGTAAATAACCTAAGAGGGTAATTGAGAAATTAACAAAAAAATAAAAAATAAAATACAATTTGGGATCTCTGCAGCTGCCTCTAACAATAAAATATGATGGTCAAATTTTCTCACATCATTGTAAAATAAATTATTTCTAAGATATGGTCCCCTTTTGTACAATTTGGTAATTGGTAGATAAAGTTGTGATGACTGTAATTTGAAATTAAACATGAAATTATTTATTTTATTTTTTAAGGGTATGTTGTCATACTTCAACCTGTATATATAAATATTTTGTATTTATTTATTTCATTATTTATTTCTATAATTGCTTATTTAGTGTTTTTGAATGATACATGTTGGGGTGGGAAAATTGTATTCTCTATATAACAATAACAATAAAAACAATTCTGCACATTCCACAACTCATCAGTGTCAACACTTATGTATGCCCCTAAATGAAAAAGAGTTTTCAAAATTTTCAAAAATTTCAAGAAAAACATCATGAACAAGTTTTTCCAACAATTCAATGGGTCAAACTGACCTGTAACATAATAAAAACATATCATGAATTTTAGTATCAGAGATACTATTTTAGTTAATATTAATATTTTAAAATAGGTTTTTATTTTGATATTTTCTGGTTCATTTTATGTTTTGTTAATTTTGTTGATTAATTTTTATTTCAGTTCATATATATATATATATATATATATATATATATATTTTTTTTTTTTTAATTGTATTG